ATCATAAATTCACCACAGGGTAGTTGGACGTTCATAAAAACAAAAGTATGCGAAAGTGTAGAGTGTTTGTCAAAGCTGGCGGCTTCATGAGGCTCAAATTAAGTGGTTGGATGGCTATTTTGAGGGAGGAAAAACAAGACTTTTGCAACTCAAGAAAAAGAAAAAAAAAGTACTTCAAATATTTATGAAGGTTTTATCGGGAGGTTATGGGCATGTTGTCACGTCTAAATCAGAGTTTTTAACTGGATATGAGCGAGTTCAAACATGTGTAGTTATTTGGTAGTGTCAAAATATTAATTTGAGCATAGCGGTGGAATTAATGGACAAGATTTATCTACAAAGATGATTATTTAATGTCACGTTGAAAAAAAATAAAGTTAGGGAGAAATGAATCATACTTTCGAAGGCCTTGTTTGAAAACGATTCCAATTTTTTTTCCTGTTTTATTTTAGAAATTAAGTTTATAATATCTAGTTAATTATACGGTTATACCTATTATTTTTTAAAATTTTTCACTCTCTACAAAACATTTTTACAAATTTTATCAAAATTTCAAAGTATTTTTTTTCAAAAAACTTACTCTTTTTAATTTCTAGAATTTGGTTATGATTTCAAAATTGATTTTGAAACTAAATTGAAAAACAAATAAAAAGGGAAAGAAGTGTAAATAAGCGAAATTTTCAAAAGAAAAAAAATACATACCTTTAACAATTAAATTATAAGTTTAGTCCCTCAACTTTTAGAGTTGTATTTAATAGGTCCTTACATTAAAAAAAAAAAAAAGTCTAAGCTTTTAATGTTATATTTAATAATCTTAAAATGTATATCTAACGCATCTTGAATTTTTCATTTTGTATCTAATAGATCTCTAACATAACATAGTAGACGTGTTTTTAATTTTAGAAACATAATCTATTAGACATTTTTAGAATTTAGTAGTAATGTAAATTTAAATTCTAAATGCTCGTAATTATTATACAATGAAGCCGTAACATTGTATAATACAATAATTGCTGAGATATTCAAACAAGAAGATTTTTTCTAATGTTTATAAGTTAAGAGAACATAACTTGATCCATAATGTCGATTTCATTGAACGGTTAGAGCGATTAGTAAGAGTCGTCATATCTCTCCCTCTTCGTCTCCTTAGATTTGATGACTTGTCTTTTTCTCTGATGGAGAGAAGATACCATTAAAAAGAGATCAATTGGTTTAGGTTTTATCTTTATATATATACTTTCTAGATCGTTAATTTAAGAAATTCATACATATATGGACCTAAAAGATTATTTCGACATGGATGTTCAGCTATATATTCAAAAAAATCTAACAATTAAACCTAAAAATTTATTGATGGAGCCAACTTGAATATACCTTAACTGATTAATGTATTTATCTTCGACCAAAAAATGTTGGGTTCGAAATCAGCCTCAACATATTATGCTAAGGGGAAAAAATATTCATGGACGGAAGTTATAATTACCCTAAAATTTTAAATAATTCAAACAAAGTATAGGAATTTTCAAATCTACTAATTTTCCTTTTTCTAAAAATGTCAATATATTATTTATAACTGATGTATGTTGTTAACCGCCGAAGTATAGTTAAATTAATGAAACATAGCAGATAGAACTAATATGATTGTGGTTTGTCTCATAGGTTGTTATTAAAAAATAAATAAAATAAAATTTGAAGATATAAAAAAAATTAATTGTTAATTGTAGATATAGTGACACGCAACCACTTTTATGATTTATAAATATAATAAAAAAAATGAAGGACCGATTCTAATAAAAAGCAGAAAAATCAGATATACTCTTTGCACTAATACATCTTGCATTAGCACCTCCACGTGTTGGCGCATTGACAAGAAGTTTGGAGGTGTAACACCCAAGATCTAGGTTCGAGGCCTCCTGTGTCAAGAAATCAATATATATATATATATATATATAGTTTTTTTTCACAATATATCTAAAATGAAGTATATCATTCATATATTTAATTTACTTCATATTAGTGATATAATTTATATTTGATATATTAGTTATATAATTGATATAGTTAAATGTCAATAACAAAAGAAAAATTAGAATAACAAAAAAAGAAAATATGATTTAAAAATTTTTACTTGTACAATAAACTATTAGCAATAAATTTTGGTCGATATTTTCATCAACATTTTCATATCTATGAGTTTACATTAATATGGGGTGAATATACGTCTTCATACTATCACAAGAAAAAAAAATCGATAAAATATAAAAAATGTTAACAAAATCTTGACATATACATCAACATTTAAAATATTGTTGTTACTATATTTGCAAACTTGACAAATATTTTGGTTATTTATTAAAAAAGGTTTAAAATTATGTTAAAACATTATTTTGATTTGTCTATTCCAGATTTGGTTCATTTTGATCAATGTACTCTTAGAATGTTCATTTTGGTCGTTGTATTTTAAGCTTTGGTTCATTTACTCGATTTACTCTCAAAATATTGATTTTGGTCCGTATATTTTTTAAAAATGACTATTTTTGTTAATTAATTTTATTTCTAGTCTAATTTTTCTATCACAATTTCAACTCGACATTGCATTCAATATATTTTTTGAAATATAACAATAACTTTATTATTAAAAATTTTTTTGTTTAGGATTTTTAAAATAGGGACCAAAATAAATATTTTGAAATAATAGGCACTAATATAAAAGAAAATTGAAATTAGATAAACCAAAATGAATATTTTAAAAATATAAAAACTGAGAGGATAAATACTAAAATAATATTTTAAATTTTAAAAGATTACATGACGGTGGTCGAAGCTAAGTCACCGTCCAAGAATCGAAACAGAAATATTTATTGGTTCTACCTCCTATATTTTATGATATTCATTCTGTTTTCTGCTGATCTTATTCAAATCCGGCGGGATTATCCAATACTAATATTAATTATATATATTTTAAAAAGTTTTCTGTTTCTTGGAACGCGGCGTTTTGAAAGACAGAATTTTGGGGCTTCGCTTAACAATTTAAAATGAAGTCAAAAAGGAAGTCTCGCTCGCCTTTTTATGTGTTACATTACACAAGACAAAGATGCGATACATTTCTTTATTTACTTTTTCGGATTTGATTTTTTTTTAACATTCTAATTTCTACCTCTATTTGAATTTTGACTTGTGCAAATGTTTCGAATGTAACATTTCGCTTCTTATTTTTTTTTTATTTTCAATTTATTAAAAGTTTTATTTATTTAAAAATAAATTTACGTTTGTTATTTTGTCTCTCAATTTTTTAAAAACTTCCTTAAAATTGCATAGAAATTTTGGGAACAACAAAAATAATTTTTTTATTTTTTTATTATTATTTTCGATTTCTTCCAAAACATATATAAAAATATTGTTATATTATTCTTCAATTTATAGATATTGGAACCACGTGAGGTATATGTCAATTGCTGCTGAACCATGCTCACTTTGACTGTATTTTTCTTTATTAAAGTTGAAGAAATAAAAATTAAAAATATGAACGTTACCAAACGATCCCTTCACTCAACTGCCACTATAAACTCACCAACTTGGTTGGTTGGCCATCTCTATCCCTACCTAGAGAGGGAATTTTATAGGTATATTCTAAATTCCATTTTAATCCTTCAATTTTATTTTAATTTTTAGATTTTAAAATATTTATTTTGGTATTTGATTTTTTAAATTTATTCTATCTTCGTTTATAAATTTATTTCATAACAATAGATTTCTATTTTTTATAAATTATATTTGTTTTTCTTTACTCTTCCAGTTTCTTTAGTATGGTTTCTATTCCTTTTAACACATGAATTCTTAATTAATTAATTATTTTTTTAAAAAAACAAGTTTCTTAAAACTTTTGTTTTTATCTTTTTTACAAAACGTGATTCATACTTTAAAAACATTTTTAAAAGTTGATAATAAAATAAAGCACATATTTCAAAATAATGTTTCTAACATTAATTTCAAAAACATAAAACAAAAACGAAATCGTGTCAGATGAATTTTAATTTTTTTAATTCTTTTGTAGAAAGATAAATATTTTAATTATCGCGTTATTATTTAATAATATATGAATGATGTGATTTTAAATAGGTCAACCTAAATCAATTTTGGTGTTTGCGTTTGTTTTGATTTAACATCTTAATATTTTATTTTATTTTCTCTCTATTTTTCCCTTGAAATAATTTTGGTTTTAATTCTTAAATTTTAACTAAAAATATTAATTAATTAACAAGTATATAAATATATTTAGAAACCTCTTAAACTAACCTCTACCCTTATATGCCTACCATATACAACTATACAAGAAATTTTCATGGAGGTAACTGAACCTATTGATTAGGTGTAAATGAACAAGAATGTGCTTGTTCAATATGCATATGTGAAGACTGGCATTTTATGTTGAAATAATAATTAAAAAAAATACGTTTTTGATCTTTAAAGTTTGAGGTAGGTGTCTATTTGGTCTCTAAAATTTTAAAATGAATATTTTTTGTCTTGTAATTATATTTAATTAATATAATTTGTCACATCAAATTTATACCTAAAAAAGGTATTTTGCCCTTAAAAAAAAGTACAGCCAAATATACACCTGTAAACAACCTAGTCGTCAAGTTTTCTGCTTACGGTGGAGAGTTAGATGTGACTTTTTAACTTATCCTAACTGATTTTTTTATATTACTTTTTATAATTTTGTATATTAATTTATAGAGATAAACTATTCAAAACAACAAATACTTTTACCATATTTTTCCATTAATTTTCAATTATATATTATAAAATAATGAGTCTTCACATGTGTGAGTAAATTTAGAGTGAAAGAAAAAATTTAGAATTATTTTAGAGCTCTAATTCTCAACCAAGCGATTTTGTTTTTAGTTTTTCTTATAACACCTATATTTACTTTGTTTAAATTTAAAAGTAAAATTATAATCCAATAGAATTAAATATCATATTTACGAGCCGTTTATAAATACAATTAACTTAGAACAAAATAGATTAATTTCTTGCAAACCACTATTTGAAATAAAATATTTTCAAATAATGGATTTAATCTTTCATATCTAAACAGACTACGATAGCATAGGCCAGCAAAGGTTGAAGAATATAAAAATGTTTTATAGGAAAAAAATATATTAAAAAAATGGTCAGAACACAAGAAATCTGTCAGACTCCGTGTAATTAGGATTAAATCCCTTTCCTTCTTCACCATTATTATGATTCTTCTTCTCCGATTCGCGGCTGCAAAATACGTCTTGGACAAAGGACTCCACATCAATTGTGTTATTTCCTTCTGTGTCCTCCGCGGCCGCCTCCATCCCGGGCAGCGACGGCGGCCGCGGAATTTGCAAAACCAAATCCCAATCGGTTCCTCTGAAGAAATTGTGGCCCTTGATCTCGTCGAGTTCGATCCTTTTCGCCGGATCTTTCTCCAGCAGTTTCCTGATTAAGTCTCTCAACGGCGTCGCTTCCCCGCACAGATCCGGCGACATTGTCAGAATCCGGTAGAACGTTTCCTTCCGATTCGATCCCCTAAACGGCGTCGTCCCGTACAGCATCTCGTACAGAACAACGCCGAGGGACCACCAGTCGACGGCGAAGTCATGCCCCTTCCCGGCCACGATTTCCGGCGCCACGTACTCCTCCGTCCCCACGAACGAGTTCGACTTCTCCGATTCCGACGCGTCCGGCGGCCATTTAGGTTTCTCCGCCCGTTGATCGGGGCGGTACAGCGAGTCCTCCGGCGAAACGCCAGAGTTGCAGAATCGGTTAAATGAAACGAATCGCTTCTTCTTCTTCCTCATCTTCGCCGATTTGGATTCCGTCGAAACCTTCGGCGATGGTGTAGGAGACGATTTAGGAGATCTCTGAGAGAGCCTTGTAGAGAGATCAAAATCGACAAGCATCACATGGCCGTTCTGTTGAACCATGACGTTCTCCGGCTTCAAATCTCTGTAAACTATTCCTAAGCTGTGTACATACTCCAACGCCATAACTAATTCCGCAGCGTAAAATCTTCGCAATCGAAACAAAAATTTCGAATCGGTCAAGAAATTGAAACAGAGATCGATCGATCAAAAAAGGAAGAAAAACTAACCAAACAACAAAGTACCTGATAGCGTCATCGGAGAACATCTTCTCGGTCTGTTTCTTCCGGAGAGTATTAAGATCTCGTCCTGCGCAATAATCAATGGCGTAGCCTACGACTTTCTGAGTATCCAAAACGCCGCGCAATCGCGGCAACAGAGGATGCCGAAACAGACGCAAAACCTCCCGTTCGAAGCAGACTCTCCGGTACTCGGATCCATCGGTACTTACGACCGTGGCTTTCCTCTCGATCAACGCCCTGGAAATGACCTTGAGCGCCAGCCATTCGCCGTCGTTCTCCGTCGCATTCCGCGCCAGAAACACCACTCCCTTCGCCCCCCGGCCGAGCGCCGTCACGACCTCCAACTTCTCGAAATCCAGCTCCGGGATTTCCTCTCGACGGTGATGTTGATGATGAAGATCATTCGCATTCCGCTGCTGATCCCTCACATCGTTCATGGCGGAAATTCCAGATGGTTCGGCAGATGGAATCTGGTGCCAGAATTCGCGGACGGGGCGTTCGCTTTATACTTGACCCTGTCCCTCGTGAGAGCTATTTCCTTGGGGACGAAGTTTTTAGGAAATGAAAAATAAATATATAATAAAGCCGACAATTACAGTCTTTTTGGTCAATGGTCTTGACGGTAATTTCGCAGGTAACAAAGCGTGCTGTGATGACGACACGTGGATGGGGATGACGTGGCGTCACCTGAAGAGAGGGCTAAATGACGTTGGAGATGATGTACAATCTTCGAACGGTGCGCTTCTAGAAGGTGGTGAAATGAAATTTAACACGCGGTAATTGTAAAGTCAAACAAAAATGAAATAGAGAGAGAGAGAGAGAGAGAGAGAGAAGGAAGGATGGGTGATTCCGTTGGATGACTGTAACAATAAAGTAAAAGAGAATTAATACGTATGCTGGGTTGTGGCCTACGTTTGACCGTCGTTCTTTAGTTAACTATTGTTCCGTATTTGAATTTCAAAATTCTAACCATTCAAAATAATCATTTCGTTTTCATTTATTTATTCTTTTCAAATCGATTTATACGAGCATAGCTCCGTATTTGTATTTTTTTCTTGTACAATAATTGAGAATAAGGGATTCCAACTCATCTAGTTAGAGATATGTGTCAATTACCAATAAATTAAGTTAATGTTGGCAACTGTATTTGTATCTTTGTTCTTGTATTTTTTATTTTGTTTAGAACTTCCATTTTAGTTATTGTAGTTTCAATATTTGTTCATCTTAATTAGTCTATATACTTTTAGGAGGTCTGGATTTGATCCTTATAGTTTAGAAAATTAACCAATTCGATTCCTATTCGAAAAATTTTAACACAAATTTTAAACATATATAGTGGAAAATCTTTAATACAATTTTATGGTTATATTTCAAGAAATTTAATGAGTGAAGTATCATACTAAAAAAAAGAGAACGTTTTAAAAGTGTAAGAGGAAACGAATAAAACTTAAAAATACAATAAAAAAAAACTGAACTAAAATAATGTTCACACATTTAATATATTATTTTAATTTTATTAATATATACTTACCACTTTTGTTTAATATTTTTTAATATATTATAATTAACGTATTCAAATAAGTATATGTAATTAATACTGTGTCGCCATATTTTATTAAACAACAAATAAAAAAGTATCGGTAGTTTAAATACTCAAAATACCACATAGTGAAAGGAATTGTCGAATCATACATTGTGGTCTACTCACTGCCGTATCTATGAATTTTATACTAATGGAGCACAAATTCCTATAAATATAATGAGAAATCATCAATTTTAATCTTGAACCCTCATAATCTGTACCAACTTTTTAGCAACTTTCAATCTCATCTAATTGTACCTTAAATTATATAATCTTCACCTTATTCAGACAAAAACAACATAAACAACATAGGAGCTAGGTTTCTTTTTTTTTTTTCAAATTTTTTTATTTAATTGAAATTTGAAAGTTTTGGGAGGAGTTATTTAATGGTTGATTTTGTGTATATTAACCGATATTAATTTTAGAAAAAATTTGACTTTTATTAAATTAGCGAGCCTTTTTATAGTTTTTCTTTTTTACATTTTTTTTTGTTTAAGCTAACCGGTGAATTAACAAAAATTGAATATAAGGTGAAAATTGCAACACTTTATCTAACCTTATCGTTCAATTTGATGATATTGCCTGTTTATGGTGACAAAATTGATGCGTAGTCATACCTGGCTACATAATCTCCGTATCAATTATATGTTTATAACAAATGCTCCAATATATATTTTCAAGCAAATTAGGTGCAGTGACGCTAACATGTACTTAGCTCTGCACTAATTGACACTGGTCTCTGATAAAGAAATCATGAGTTCCGAATCTCTCACTCTTACTTGTTACTACTCTTAATCCGAAATTTCATTAAGTTTAATTAGGAAGCTCTAGCAAATAAGCATAATTTCCTACAAGTAACGGACCTATAATTGAATTCTTAACCCAGCCCATGTAATCTAATTATAAGTGTTTGTGCTATTCATAGCTATAATAAACAATATTATAAGAGTGAAACTAAAATAAACAACATGCACAACTTTGTAAGGAAGCATGTTAAAACATATTACAACGTTTGAAACATAGGGTTTGTTATTGGGTAAAGGTAATAACTCTCAATAAGAGAGTTATTTTATGCCATTTTTAGTTTGGATTTGAATGATATTGACTGTCCCAGCCTTGATTTGCATGTGATTAAGAGGTAAAAAATGAAATTAGGAAGTGTATGTAGTAGCTTTTACGCAAGGAATGAAAATTACTCATTTATATATATGTCGGTTTTGCTCCAGGACGATGTGGGGCACCATTTTCTAGCAGCCACTTCTCCAAGGAATTTGGCTTGCGATACTGGAGCATCGAAGTCTGCAGTAGATAAAGTGCAGTAACTCGTTTTACGCGAAATTTTTACTGTTGCCCTACTTTCTTCGTTTTATTTGTTTTGCACTAAGAGGGAGCCTCTTAATCATCAATATATCCCTAAGAGGGAGCAATCTAAGAGAGAAAAGAGAAGACAATCAAGGAAGGAAGAGAGAGAGAATATTCTGTTGGTTAAACATACGCTATATATATAAACTGTCTAATACCGACAAATAGATTACAATGTAACTAACTGCAAACAATTATAGAATTAAACAGCTCAATGAACACCAAAACTTAATGAATTCAGTTGAAGCACACTTCAATAGCACTGACCTGGAGACAAATATTTACTCTGCATAAGTTCCTAGCAGACTATAACGATCGTCTCAGTATGATATGATGACTAACTCTGGTAAAATAGCAACATCGAACTACTCAGATCTAGCAGAACTGTTAGATACTAGCTGTCTGAGAGGAGGAGAATAATCAATTATGGTATGATTGGATATCTCAAATGAATGAAAACAACAACTATATGTAGTTGTCCAAATATATAAGCCCTCACATAAGAAGGAACCTTTTCACATACGTAACTTTAACACATAAATATAAAAACAAATCCTCATTTAAGAAATAAGTTTAACATATATCTATTTTTAACTCATATGTAACTTTAACGCATATAGAATTTGAAACTTTGTAACTTTAACACAAAAAAAACAAAAACAACAAATGAAATAAAGGATTTGTATGTTATTAAATTCCTCAATTCAAAGATAAATTTTAAAGAGATATATTCACCACGGAATAAATTTCTTCAATTTTCACTTTCTTTCACACATTAAAAATCCAACATATCCATACCTTTAAAAAAAAAAATCAGCAGACAAGGAACTTGACAGAGAATAAGAAGAAGACAAGACAAGGATGTTGAAAGGAAAGCTGGAAGACTTTCATACAATGGCTAGTTTGAAGACCCAAACATTTTCTATCCCTTCCTTTATTGTTTCTACTCGATGGGTTGTAACTTCTTTCTCTTCTTCTTTGATTTTACAATGAATATGAGCTAAACCAATTTGTCGGAGTTATGGGCTTTTACTTGTAAACACATTTTTTAGTTACTAAAGTTATTACTATTTGATTAAAGTTCGTGCTTCATCCTAATGTTCTCCATGATTGATCACCATACTTGAACTACTAATCCTATTAGTTTTTTTTGAAGATTTGGTAGGATTCGTACTAGATTTATCTTCTAGTATAGAGCGAGGTGCTTAGAGAGACTCACGTAGTAGAGCTATAAACTGTTTTGAGTGTTCAATAGGGCAAACAAAAGTTTGGTTAATGAAAAATCTGGGTAATATGAAAAGATATCGTGTTTGTTTGGCTAGCTACCCCAACAGCTTCAATGTTAGGGCATCAGTTAGTAACAATATTATAAAAGAACATAACCTTTGCTGTTTTCTCCCCATTGCAACTCGTTTTAGCACTATTTTAGCTTACTGTTTTTTACGAATTTTATGTTTAATTTGTTAGTAATTTTAGAACAAAAAATATATTTGTTTGGTTACCCAGAAGTCAAATTTAGAGCAATTTGGTTACAACAATCCTTGTGGAGACAACTTTTTATCACTTGCTACAACTTCTTAATGTATAGTTTCACTTGCTTTAGTATTCTGGGTTGCTAGGACAACAAGTTTTTGGCACTGTGGCCAGAAATTGTTTTAATAATTTCTTCTATAATTTATCTTGGGAAAACTGCACTAAAAATAAAATGCCTAATTTGGAGTTAATATAATTGGTGTAGGTAGGATGTGGCAGCTTTCCTCCTTGGGAGCTCCAACTAGGTCAAACAAGCAATTTCTTCAAATGTTAAAGACCTAATAAAACAAATTGTTACAAAAATATAAATTAAGTTGGACCGAATTTGGTTGTGCCTTCCAAAATTGCTTGGATCCAAATAGGGAAAGTTTTTCTTTTGGACACTTCTCCTTCAATTGGTAATGATTCTTGCTCCAGACATCTAATGGAAATGATTTTATATGTAAAAAGCTCTTTCAAAGCCCTTCAAAATGGTATCCAATTTGACTAAGATTGAAGCATAAAATAGAAAGATAYAAGCGATTGAAGTTAACATAGTGAATTCTCAGGTGTTGCACGATCTTTCCCCCCAAAAAATAGTGTACTAAAATAGTGATAACTTTCATATAATTGGATGAAATTTTCAATTGTGGTTTTGTTGGAAATCTAACTCAAATATATTCAATTTGACATTAGTTTTACTCAATTTGAAGTTATGAGCAAAAAGATATGAATTTTCAAAGTTAGAGTTACTGTTTTGAAAATCTGGAGGTTTCTCTCGATTCATGTGGTTTGAAAAAAATCGTAACTTTGGCTATAGGACACGGTTTAAATTGAAATTTTGTTTGTTGAAAAGTTCTTGGAAAGAAGAACAAAATAAGTAAATATTTTAACACTTCAAAGCAATTCTCAAAACTCTTTCAGTTATGCAAAGAACAAGAACAATAGGCACGCAAAAGTAGCAAGAACAAGAATGTGTGATTTTGGACTTTTTTTTTGAATAACGAAAGTAAAGACAAAGACAAAAAAGGTAAATGATATATAAGATGTAGAGATTTAAGCTCTGATACCAAATTGTTAAGGACAACGGTATGTTCGTACCCCCAAATATTTCCACAATGGTAGATATTGTCCGCTTTAAGCATAAAGCTCAACGGCTTTGCCTTTTGGTTTCACCCAAAAGACCTCATACCAATATATATATTTGTCCTCATCTATATACCATGGATCACTCGCTTCCCTAGCCAATATAAAACTTTGTTTGCACTATTTACAAACCCAACACAAATGATACACAATAACTCAAACGTATGGACAAACGAGTCTCTAACCACTTGAATCCAGTCGTATAGATGATTTAACTCAAAAGGGAAAAGTTAGATGGATTACCTTTATGGTCAAATACCACGAGTAGACAGATTACTCTCCATACTTGATGTCGAACACTCCACAAGTTTGGTGACCA